CGCTAATGAAATAACATTTTAATTGAGTGAATCTGTTATGCACAAATGTTACAGGTGATAAAACTCCTGTTAAATGGAAGCCCAGTAATGAGATGAACCTGTCGAGGGAACAAATTGCCTGCAAATCAGAAACAGGCTTCCGAGGCGCCCCAGCAGCTTTGGGGCTTCCATTACTTCGCTTGGCTGAAGCTTGTGCTGCCCCACGGCGCTGGAGCCTTCTGGCAGCGTTTCCCCGCGCCAGCCACCCATGCAGAGCTGTGGTCTGCGGGAGGAGTGTGGGTAAGCGTCAGCGAGCTGTACAAGCAGCTAGAAGTTTGTCTCTCAGAGCTTTCTGTGGTTTTTGGCCGGGTTAGATCTGGGCTGGGTGCCAGGTTGGCAGCAGTGGTTCTGGTAGGACATCAGTGGGGTGTTGGGAGCGTCCCAGTTCTGGCCGGTGTGCTGGGACTCTGGCGGGGAAAGTGCCTGGCCAGCCCTGGTGTGCTCCTGTGTGCTGCTGCATCGCCTTGGGTATGTGTTGGCTTCTGAGATCACTGTAACTCGTGCCACCTGAGTTTGCCAAAGAGATTTGGCAAGCTTCTCCCTGTTGCTTGTACACCAGCCCTGCTCGGGGGATGACGCCCGCTCCTCTCTTCCTGGGGATAGCAGTGTTCTGTCTGAAGCAGCTATTCCAGGTCCCAGTCCCAGCTGTATTTCATGCTTCACCGTATGTGGATGCTACAAGCAGCACACAGCCAGTTTTGAAAGAGCAGCCAGGAGCGTCCCCCTGCTCAGATGAGCAGTTATTTGTAAAACAGGGAGCCTCCTCTCTGTCCTCTGTCTCATCTGGGCGCAGGGCACAGGTGCTGCTGGAGCCTGAGCTCCACGGGCATGGGACTTGCCCTAGGAATGCTCCATCTCCGTGTGGAAAAACCGTACAAATGCTGGACTCGAAGGAGCGGAGAGAGGCATCCAGCTCTTGCTTCTGCAGTTTCTGGATCTGTTTGGTCAGAACACAAATGCAGCTGTACCTTCCCAGGGAAGCTGCTGGACCTACTACGGGGGGAGATCAGTAACCATGGTGCAAATGTGCTTCAGTGGCTCAGAGAGTATAAGGCAAGCAAAAGCCTCTCCTCCTTCTCCTGTTCATTTTTCAGATCTCCTCAAGACCAGTGTGATAATTTTGGAGGCCTGATTCATGCTTGGGGCTGACACTCCTGTGGGCTTATTTATCAGCTCGCATCGCTTGGGCCTCTCCAGGCACTCCGTGGGCTTCGTTTCCCCCTTCGCCTCTCACTTGCTGTCATCCGCTGGAGATGAGGACGCTTTTTAATCTAATTTCGCGGCTGCCAGTTGTGGGTGCAGTGAGCTTTGTGCTGGGCCAGCTAGCCCGGGAAGCTAGCGGTGCTGTGTTTGTAGTCTTTTATCCCCGAGCCATTTCTTTCATTCACTTACGCAAAGGGCACCGCTGTTTGTGACCTCCTGGCTGGCAGACCCTTACGCCTGAACACGCTAAAGGCACGGAGAACCAGCTGCGGGGCAGGAGGCAGCGGGGCTCAGTACGACTGCTTTTTGATGGACGGTTTTAAATTGCTCTATTCAGCCCAACATCCCACAAGTAGCTGCTGTCATTTTCGTTCAAATAGCTACCTTCAGGCTACTTGGGGAGGTCAGGCTGCAGAAGGGGGATGCTCCAGGGAGGTGGGAAGAGCTTTCTCTTTCTGTATCTGGTGCCAAGGGCAAGGGTACTGGACAGAAATCTGCAGACCAGTGAATTTGCTGTCACTCTTCTCCCTCTGTGAGTTCAACGCCTCTAGAAACTGCCTTTGAAGTTTAATTTATGAACTGGCAGATGAAGGAGCTGAAGG